AAATATTTTGCATGGCATTTACCCAGTGCACAGCAAACTTTAAGTTAGAACATCGCCATTTTCACTTCATTTATTTTGTATCAGTGGTTTCAATCCTGCCCTTACATCTGGCAGAAAGTAAAAAGTCAAGTCAAGCAGAAACTGTCAAGATATCCAAGGAAAACCTAATCAAACTAGAGTGAAGCCTACTGCCTATTCAGTTCAATTCAATAAATATTTATTAATTTGTTGTGCTTTGAACCACCTTCCCTTAAAGGAACCATGCTAGCATCTTAGAATCGGTGCACTTTTGACATAAACATAAAGAATAGGAAAAATATAATAAAACAAAGGGGTTTAGTAGATAGTGTAATGGATTTCGTGTTATAAAGGCAGGAATTCAAATCCTGCCCTTCTTCAGTTTTCTCATCTGCAAAATGGGAATAATAATAGCATCGACCTCCTAGAATTACTGTGAGGTTCAAATGAAATAATATATGTAAAACACTTTACAGATCTTAAAATGAAATGTAAATGTTAGCTATTATTATTAAAGAAAACTTCATTTCCCTCAAGAACTTTTTGAGAGTCTATAGTTATTCTCCTAAGAATAGAGTGTTCTTTTTTTTCTTTTTTCTTTAAAAATATAGACAAACTTTTACATGCAAATGAGTATAGCCCTTTGAAGTACTCACCTTAGATGTCTATATACATGAATGAATGAATGCTTAATTAAAAAGCATTTATTAAGCACTACATGCAAAGTTCTGCACTAAGCTTAGAGTACTAATGGAAAAGCAAAGCAGTTCCTGTCTTCGAGGAGTTTACATTTAATAGAGGATGACTACTCATATTGGAGGAAATATTTAGCTTGAAAAACAAATGGAGAGGTCCAAATGTCCTTAAGTGGTGGCAGCAAAGCCCATGGTAATGTACCATTTTTAGTGTCCGTTAGATTGTGAGCTCCTTAAAGAAAAGGGCTGTTTTGGCCTTTCTTTGTATACCCAGTGCTTAGCACAGTACCTGGCACATAATGCATGTTTAGTAAATTTGTGCTGACTCAACTTAATCTCCATTGATAAAACCATATCTGTTTGTGACATTACAGTGCCAAGATTTTGCTAATGAGAGCTTTCTTTTGTTGGTATTCAAGTAGCTATGTATACTATAGAGACAGTTGCCAGTCTGCATCTCCACAAAGGATGTTTCCCTGGATGATGGCTGCAGTAGCCAGAATGGAAGCAAGGCCTGTAGTCCTGGAAAAAGGAACAAAGGAAGAGAAGTAGGAGCTACCACTATTTCTAGGGATCCTGGGTTTACCTGCCTATCAGTAACATTCAGTTGGCACTTGAAACTGGTAGGAGTAGTGATAATAGGCCCCTTCCCCACAAGGGCTGGTTTCGTCAATGATATATGCAGGGACAAGGCTAGAAGGAGGGCTGGTGGTCTTGGGGATGCAGCTATAACTGGAGCTCTTAGGCTCTTAGACCTAGGCTGGTCCTTTGGGATGCCAACTTGCTTTTTCATTTTTCTCATACAGAGCAGAACCACACAATGAAATCACCTTCAACAAGTTTGTCCTTTTTATCAATGATTTTATTGTAATAAATATTTTAGTGGAAATAATACTAGACATAAAATCAAGAAAAACCTGAGTTTGAATCCTATTACTGAAACGTTCTTGTTATTTGATTATGGGAAAGCACCTGATCTTTCTGAAATCTCATTTTCCTTTTAATAATAATTATGATTATAATAACAATCATGTATACATATAGTATTTTAAAGTTTGGGAAGCACTATGCATATATGTAATATCTATGTGTCTGTATGCATTTTATGTATATATGTTGTTGCTTGTTTTTTGTTTTTGAAGAGGACCGATGATATCACAGGGTAATGTCTTGATTCATGCAAGCATTGGATTTAAGTGAGGCAGAGTTGCACAAAGTCGTCAGCCTCACTCTTTCTTCAAAATAAAAGTCAGGATGACTGATGATGGCCTGGGATGCAGTGGGTGACCTTGGCATCTTCAATGTCTGAGCAAGCTCTAAGTTCATCACAGCATCTGCTTCAACCACTTTCATGGCTGTTGGAACAAATTCTTCTCATCCACCCATTCTACTGGGAGAAGTCTTCATATGCTTGGAGTAGACATCGCCATAACTAACCAATAGGTTTGAGGCTGATCTGTTATCTTCAACCTAGCATAGCCCATCTGCTGATACAGTTTACTGGGATATGGACACTGCCCAGGCTACAACTTCTTGGAGCCAGAGGTGAAAATTGAGTGCCAGGTGGACACCAAAGGTGGATGAATATACATTCACACAAATAGGTGCTACAGGTATTATTAACCCCACTTACAGTTGAGGAAACTTAGGCTGATGGAGGTTAAGTGAATCAAAATCACATAATTAGTATGAGTCAGAGGCAGGATTTAGACCCAGCTCTTCTTAACTCCAATCAACAATCTATCTCCTATGCCCACAATCATCTCTGTACAATGATGACCACACCTATTTTACAGGATCATGAGGATCAAATAGGGGAATGTGTATAACATCTAGATCAATGTCAGCAATTATTAGAGAGGCAGAGGTAGTTGAGTGTAAAGAGTGCTGAACTTGATTCAGATCCCACCTCAGACTCTTACTAGCTATATGATGATGGGCAAGTCACTTAACCTTTCTGAGCCTCAGTTTACTTATCTGCAAAATGATAACAATTACCTACCTCACAAGGTTGTTTGTAGAAAGTACTTCTCCAATTTTAAAGTGCTATATCAAGTTCTGTAATTATTAGACCTCTGATATCATTGGTAGAGGCAACTCCTGGGATGAGAAAACACCTTAGACTAATGAAGGTTGGCATCTTCTCTGCAACTTATAATCTTAGGGAGTTTCTCACTGAAAGGATAAATGGGTTCCTTGGGTTCACATAGCCAGGATGTGTCAGAGGCAGGATTTGAACCAAGGTCTTCCTGGTTCTGGGGCCATCAGTCTAACCATAGGACCATGCTGTCCCTCTACAGCCCTGATAAAGTTCTGCAAATGTCTCTCGAACTATAGTTCCTCTGTGACTTAATGGATGGCCTCTTCTGACCCCTTCAGCCTGGGAAACCCTAACTCTTGTAGAATCTCTTTGGGCAGTAACTACCCTTACTAATGGGCTTTATGTCCAATTACTGCTAAAAACCAAAGAGATCTCAGTAGAGTAAAAGGACAAACCTGGATATTTTCAAATATTAAACAGGGCTTATTTTAAGCAGGATTGCAGAGGTAATCACTTTTTGGTGAGCATGGAAAGGACAGACCGGTTGAAAAGTGTTCCTCTATGTGAAAGAGGATATTAGCCACATAGATCATAGTTCACATATACTCCTCAGTAAATGTCAAATGTTTCTTTCTGGAATAAATTTAAGGTGGTGATTTGTTCCCTTCAGTGAGTGAAAGAGCTGAGTCAGTCATATGGCTCACTCTTATCTTTCCTTATGTGATATTATTTTTTGAAAAATGCATTTAGGCTATTTTGACTCACACTTCATTCACATTATCTATTCCCTATTCTTATTTAGCATTTCTCCTTCTATGTTCTTTCCCCCAGCATTTCTATTACTTATTCCTGGGCTCTTCTCTTCTATCTTACCCCCAGGACTATTTATTTCTCACTACTTTTGTTTCTTTTATGATGAAAATTAAGTACAACATTTAAATGGTAAATTCTCCTTGCATTAGTCTTTCCAAACATAAAAGGCTTCTTCAAAACATCTGTAAAAACATGTATATATTTTCTCAAAAGGTACAGTAAATATGATGGCTGATATTGTGCAAGAGACATCTTATTAATAACTTCCATTCATAAATCAAATTGAGAAGTAGATCTTTAGAAATATTTCATCAGATGATCAGACTTAGCATCTTGACCCATTATGTTTCTTAATTACTATGTACAAATAATAGTATATAATTGGATAAATAATACATTGAAAATTAATTTCTCCATTAATGAAATTTTAAAATCTTTGATTCAGCTCTGGTTAAATATTTTGAGTATATTTGTCTGGTCGTTTTATAAAATTGTTTGATTTTTCCACATAATTTATGATGTGGTTTAACTTGAAGTAACTCCTTATGAATATACTTATAAAGATGAAGCTTTGGAATTCAATTTGATAATTCAACAAACATTTATTATGGTTTTTTATTTATTTTATTTATTAATTATTATTTTTTTTAATTTATTTTATATTCATTATTTTTTATTATATTTATTATGTGCCTAGTGGGTGCAATACAACCTGAAATCACTAACCCAAAACATGGGTGATTCCCCCAACAATATAAGAGGCCAGCACATAAAGTGATAAAAAAAGATACCCACCGTGAGCACATGGTATGTACTCTTCCATGGGCTAACATAACACCACTGGGGGCAGGAATATACCCAAAGACATGGGTATACATGATCAGGAAATAAGCAATAAAAGGCACATGCCAAGAACCACTATGACTAGGTTCTATGGGAAGCCTTTCCCAGTTCCTCTTAATTCTATTGCCTTCCTTCCATTCATTTCTTTCAATTTGTCCTGTTAGTAGCTTGTTTGTACATAGTTATTTGTATCGTCTCTCTTATTCAATTGTAAGTTCCTCAAAGGCAGGGCTTGTCTTTTGACTTTCTTTGTATCCCTAGCACTTAGCACAGGGCCTGGCACATAGTAGGTGCTTATTAAATGTTTATTGACTGATTGACCAGGGCACACATACTTTGTACTTAATAAATACTTGTTGACTGATAGATTAATTGATTGACTGGGTAAAGAAAAACAAATGGCAGTGATAAAGTTCATAATACCAAATACTAGCTTTTTCAAAAAAAAAAAGACAGATATTAGGATGTTATACTATATACTTTATTATTGTGTTATAATTTTTATCTATTACAGAAAATACACATTAATACATAACTGAACATATATATAAACATTCTTCAAAGTGTTTTCTTCTTATGTAAATATAAATCTCCAAAAATCTAATTCAGCAAACTTTGATTAAGCACATCCTATGTGCAAGGTATCATGGTAAGTTTTTGGTATAAAAACTGAAATAAAAAACACAAACCCTGCCCTCAAGAACTGCACTCCGGTAGGTTAGATAAGAGATACATAAATAGGCAAAGAAATTACATATAACAAGTGCCAAAGTAAAGTTTCAAACAAAATGCTGTGAGAAATTCCAAGTAGGAAAGATCATTCCTAGCTAAAGAAATCAGTTCTAAGACCTTATAACTGGGTCTCTCCTGTTGCATGAAGCTAAAGAAAATTTAGATCTCTACCTTACATGGAAATTTCCTTCTGACTATGATCTTAGACTTTACATCTTGACTGAAGCCTGCTGAAAAAATAAAATCCATCATTGCTGGAATTCCATTAGCAGGTGGAAGCAGAACCATCATGAAATATTTCCACTGTTTTATAAATGTCTTTTATTGAGCTCAAGTCTGGAGTGATATGGCAGCCGTAGAGATGCAGCATCTTCAATCTAAAGGAAAACCATGGCTTATGTGAAATGGGGGGAATTAAGCCTAGATAGAAAACACAAGGATGTTCTTGAAGCATGAAAAGTACTTAAAGCAAACCGGATTATTGGCTTATGTTTCTCAAAGGAGAGAGATAATACCAAACTTGAAAAGGACAGGCACAGAACTGACCCCTTTGGTGTCTGCTGAGGGGAGAAGAGCAGGGAATAACTTAGCTGTGGAATCTAGCATTACTCTCTGTGTAAGCAAGGGGAAGAGAAAGGTAATACATTCTTAAACATAAATGGAACATAAAGATGGATGTGAAAGGAGGGGAAAGATGATTCCTTTAATGGCGACAGCACAAGTGACATTACGTAATATTATGGAAATGCTCCATTTCCAAACTCCCCCTGCAGCCCAAACACCCTCCAGACCCAATTCAGACCCTCTTCTTCATGCTGTGAGAGTGAAGTCAAAAGGACAGAACAGAGGGGAAACTGAGGCATACAGAGGATGTAGACAAACAGTGATGATTTGGTAACAGCTTTCCTTTTGCAATTTTTAAAGATCCCAATTAGGAGTTCTTAACCTGAGGTCTGTAGATAGAATTCTGCTGGTCTTTAAATTTTGATGGGAAAAAAAATCACATCTTTATTTTCACTGAACTCTAATATTTAGTGTTGCCTTCAATTATTTAAAAGCTTTATTCTGAGGAGTCCAAAGGATTCACTAGTCTTCTAAGGGGGTTCATGATACATAAAAAAAAGATGCCTGATCTATACTGAGTCATTATAAAATATTCAGAGTTCATCTAAAACAGGCATTCTAGGAAAGGAATTTTTAAACTCTGGCAAAGATAGAGAGATGGTTATAGTCAGTCAACATATACTTATTAAAGGTTTACTATTTTAATGCTTATTGTATTAAGCTCTAAGAATTTAAAAATTCACTAAGACTTTTGGGACATCTTATATAACAACTTTCACTTGGCACTTCAAGGTTTGCAAAATGACTTGCATAAAATATCTCATTTGAGCCTCACAAAAATCTTGTAAAACAAGCATTACATGTGTTCCCATTTTACAAATAAGGAAAATGAGGCTTCGAAAGAGCAAATGACTTGCCCAGAGTCACACAGCTAGTAAGCATGTTTGTAAGGTGGGATTTGAACTCAAGTCTTTCTGAATCCAAGTCCATCACACTCTTCACTATACCACAGCATCCTTTCCTTTTGAATTATTTCACCATTATTTTCGAATTCATTTGGAAACTTTATAAGCATTGTTCCTGAATACAGTCTTCTCATTTCAAAAAAGCAAAATTAAATAATCTAAGATCGATGCTTGGACATTGAATATACGGCAAAATTGTAGCTTTCTAGTATTACTATTGAACCCCACCCCAAAACTTCTCTATCATGACTTTTATCCCCAGTGGTGGTAATAAGGGAAATCGTAGCTCATAGATGAATAGGTATACTTCCTTCCAAAGTAAAGTGATAGGGACTGAACTTGGGATTTCATTAATGTAGGAAACTCCTTCTACTAATGAAGATTGACACCTTCTCTGCAACTAGGTGGCTCAGTGGATAAGCCCCAGGCCTGGAGTCAGGAAGACCTAAATTCAAATCCAGCCTCAGACACTTACTAGCTATGTGACCCTGGGCAAGTCACTGAACCCTGTTTGCCTTAGTTTCCTCATCTGTCAAATGAGCTGGAGAAGGAAATGGCAAACCGCTCGAGTATCTTTGCCAAGAAAACCCCAAATGGGGTCATGAAGAGTTGGATACAACTGAAGGGACTGAACAACTGAGGTTGCTCAGTGACTTGCTCAGTGACTCAGTGAAGTAACTTGCCCAATCACACAGCCAATATGTCAAAGCTGGGACTCGATCTCAGGTCTTTCTGGCTTTGAGGCCCACACTATACCCATTATACCACACTTTCTCTTGGTTCTTTCCAAAACAACTAAAAATAAATTCATCCGTCTTCTTGGCTTTGAAAGCAGAAAGGCAGAAATGAAACTAAGACAGCTCCCAAGAATTGACGCTTTGAAGTAATGTTAAGGGATCCAATTATTTTGTTTCGACTACAGGGTCATGTTCAGATGACCCAGAAGAGAAAAGTAAAGCAAACCGGACAAGTCAGGGAGATGGCCACGATGCTATAAAACTACACTCTATCCTCTGGAATGTATTATGAGGTTCAATAGTCTTGGCAAATAGCAGGATGGAATAGTCAAATAAAGGTCAATTTTGCCACTCCCCTAGAGTCACAGTTGAACAATAATTTAGGACTTCAATTCTTAAACCAAGTACTAGAATTAGAGATACTGAAATCAGGATTTTGGGTGCTACCATATGAATTCACAGAATGTCAGGGCCCAGAGGAACCTCAAAGGTCATCTAGTTCTACTCTTTTATTTTACAGATAAGGGGCCTTACAGCAATCTGTTGAGGTAAGTATTATAGGTATTATTAAATAAATACATCCTATAAAGAAGGAATTTTAGGCTTACACAGATGTAATGACTTTCCCAAGGTCAAACAGATAGTAAGTTGCAGACCTAAGTCTTGAACTGAGGTCTCCTGCATCCCACTACGGTGTTCTTTCCATGGTAACCCCCCACCCACCCTTACCCTGTACCTTAATTTGCATGTCTTTAATGCTAAAGTATGAGATTAAGGTGACTTGGGAGAATGTATTAGAACATCAGATTACACAGAAATGCTAAAGGTCAAATCCACAGTACTCTATCACCAAGAGCTTTTTGAGAGAGTGAGAGGTGTCATACTTTTGGAGGTGGTTGTGCAGGGCAGGAACAATGTAAATTATATAATAAGATTGTAATTTTCTTTCTACTTACATAACCACTACTTCTCAGCCTCCTTTAGTAGATCACTACTCATAACATACTCTCTAGCTGTGGTTTTTCTCTTAGGCTCTGTCTTGGGTTCTTTTTTTTTTCTATATACTTTCATTATCAGCTCCCATAGGTTCAATGATCACTTGTATGTAAATGACATCTAGATAAATACAACCAGCCTTTTAGTCTCTCTCCTTTCACCAAATGCCTATGGGAAAATTCAGATTATACATCCCATAGGCATCTCAAACTCCCTTTATCCAAAATAGAAATCATTACCTTTCCCACAAAATCCTCCCTCTTCTGAACCTCTGTTTTTATCAAGGGCACCACCATTTTTGCAGTCTCTCAGGATGAAAGCTTCGGCACATCCTCAACTCTTCACTCTCCCTCGTTTCACATATTCAATTAGTTGCCAAGTCTTGTTAATTTCACCTTCCCAATATCTCTTGAAACCATTTGCCTCTCTATGCTCACATTACCCCAGTTCAGGCAATTGAAATAATCAGATTGATTCTTTGTCTTTTTTATTGATACTATTTACAATTAATTGATTTTTGTCCTAAATCATGATTCTTCATCTCTGAACTTAATTCAGAAATTTAGTTGGCCTGTAATGAATTAAGTTTAGAAATCTAATTCTCCTGTTAATTATTGTTCTGTTCTTGTGTGAAGGAAATCTGTTGTTACCTTGGAAGGTTGCAGGTGGATACCAGGGACCCTGGTCTAGTATCTTTACACCACCAAGCTATCTTTCATGAATGTCTGGTTTGTTATCCAAAAAACGTCTGATTTGCTATCTCAGTCCTTTAAGATGCTCAAACAATGAACATTTCTTAATCACAGAAGGGAAGGAGGGTGTTGTTACTAGCTCTCATTCCCAATTTCCACCCAATCATATTGTCTTCCATCTATGATGCTTCCTGTTCTCTGTACACCCCCAAACTATAAAAAAGTGTTGTTAAACTGGGTCTTAGCTTTGTTGGGGAAGCTGAGATCCTACTTATTGGTAAATTCAAGCTTTACTAATGAATTATTCATGCTAAAAACTTTGTGCCTCAGTCTATCATAATTTTTTTTAACTGTTACACCATAATTACCACTTGCCTAGACTATTTCAAGAGCCTCCTAATTGGTATCCCTGCCCCAAATCTCTCCCAACTCTAGTCCACCTTCTATACAGCTGCCAAAGTGAGAGCATTGGTCTGATCATGTCATTCCCTTCCTCGTTAGACTCCAGGGATTTCCTAATACTTCTCAGATCAAGCACAAGTATCTCTATCATTTAAAACTTTACAACCTGGCTCCCCTTCATGTATTCTGCATGCCAGGCTCACTTGGCTACTTGCTGATCAGCCAAGTTCCACCTACCATCTCTGTGTCTTTGTTCAGGCTGTGCCCCATGCCTAGAGTACAATCCTTTGTTACCACAATCGTGGGCTACCTGCAAAGCTCACTTTTACTGCTTTCTCCTCATAAGGCCTTTTTTTGATCTCCCTAGCTTTTGATGCTTCCTTCCTTGTATTTTTAAAAATTTGTTTATTTTGTATGTACTTCTATGGGAATATATTGTCTACTCCAACTCCCCACCGCTACAATCCTTCAGTCCTTGAGGGCAGGGATTTTTTCATCTATGTCTTGGATTCTCCACCACCTAGCCAGTACCTTACACATAACAAGTCCTCAACAAATGCCTGTTTACTGTTTGATTGGAAGGATTAGAAATCATCTAATTCAAATCCCTGAGACCTAAGGAAATTAAATGACTTGGTTACTACCCAGGTCCTAGGTTCTCCAATTCCAAATCTAGAACTCTTTTACCATTTGTTAGCCTTTAAAAGAATAATCATATTTTATTTTTAAAAAAGAGAGACTTTTCAATCAATGCTTTCATCATTACAACTGACCAACCTAAGTTAACTCTCTAATTCTGTTAATTACCTTGTTTATTTTGAGCTAATATATTCCACTATTCCATTTTGATGAACTTTACTAAACAGAACTCTCATTTCTTGAAAGGTTTCATGTTTCCAAAACAGACATATTCATTCTCATGGAACAATTTATACACTGGATTTGTCCAAACAAATTCAACAAGTCAATAACATATGAACATGTTAATAGCATACCTGAAACCAATATTACCAATATTATATATAAAACTATAAAATTTACAAAGTGCATTACATATATTATCTTAATTGATCATCCCAATAAACCTATGATGTAAGTACCATTATTATCCCCACTTAATACATGAAGAAACAGAGGCTGAGAGAAGCTAAGTGACTGGTCCAAGATCACATGGTCAGTAAGTGTCTGGGACAGGACTCAAATTCAGGTCTTCCTAACTCCAAGTCAAGAGATCTTTCTAATGTACCATATATCTGCCTGATATAACTTTTGGAAATTAATGATGAGTTAAATAAGGTGAATTTTAAGCATCTCTTCAAGATATATAATTTCAAAAACATAGAAAAAAATGCTGTCAGAGAAGCAGAACCCATAAATATAGTAATGATACATTAAAAGTAAAAAACAATCAGTGTAATTCAAAATGTCTTTTTAACTTATTTCTCTTGGCCAACAGCGTGGTAAAATGGAAAGAGCATTGTATTTTCAGTCTGAAGGGCCTGTTTTGGGGAACCTAGCTCTATTACTTAGCACGTAGGTGACCTTGGACAAGTTATAAACTTCCTAGGCCTTGGTTTCATCTCTAAAATAAAGGAGCTGGACTAGATAATGTCTAAGTTCCCTTCCAGCTCTAAATCCTAAGATTCTATGACAAAAACCAACATGCTTTTTTGGGAGAAAGAAAAAGAAATCTTTTCTGAATGTTTTTTAAAAAAAATACACAAAACTCCTAACACAAATAAGAAGGAAGTTCTCTATTATTCATTATATGATATATTCTTCAGCTGTTTTCTGGGAAATATTTTTGTTCTTATGAACAATAGCATACCACAAAACAGAAAAAAAAAAGGAAGCTGTATCAATAGGCAACAAATACATGGCTCACTTTAGGTTTTCTATTCATTTTTTTAAAGAAAATTTAAGGTCTTACCGTCTGCAATTTCTGCAAAGCTTTCTAACAACATCCAGGGTGATTTCCTTGCAGAAACTGAGTTTCACACACTCCAAAGTGACATGGCAATAGCTAGCCAACAAACTAACCCTGGAAAGGGAGCAAACAAAATGGGATAAAGGAATACAAGTCAGTTAGGACACCAAGCCAGATTTGGTTTTTATGGCTTCCTTCTCGTCAACAGTTATCTCAAATCACTCTAGCCAAAAATTTCATATTGGCCCCTACTAAATTTAAGGGCCTTCTTATGCCTTCTTCCCCTTTTCTTTCAGCTACTCATCATTTCCTTCTTTTCCTGCTGTTCTCATTACTAAGCTGAGGGAACAGAAGCTTCTCTTTATATCCAATGTGCACAGTTATAAAATTTTACTATAAAATTTTATATATAAAATATATATATTATAAAATTTTATATATAAAAAAATTATAAAATTTTACCAAAAAAATTACTTGAAAATCAAACAGAAAGAGAAAAGAATCTAGAGGGAAAGTATTACTTTGAACCCCTGAACAATCAGTCCACAAGCCTACTCTTCTCCAGGCACTGTGCTAAGCACTAGGGATACAAAGAAAGGCAAAAAATGGCCAGTCCCTATTGGGAAGAGACAACAAGCAAGCAACTATATATAAATAAGACGTATACAGGACAAATAGGAGATCATCTCAGTGGGAAGGCACCAAGATTTAAGAACTGAGATGCAGATAGCATCTTCCTTCATATGTCCTTTGTAGTTAATTTGGGTATTTATAATAGTCAAAATGACTTATTCTCTCAAAGTCATTCTTGAAACAAAATTGTTGTTGCTGTATACAACATTATCTTGGTTCTGCTCATTTCACTCATCACTATTTCATGCAAGTCTATGATCGAGCTCATCATTTCTTATACCACAACAGTATTCCATCACAATCATATACCACAACTTGTTCATCCAGAGAAAGAATGGATAAATAGAAGTATGTATAGAATGGTTTATATATATATATATATACACACACATATATATATACACATATATACATATTTATGTCTAATGGTAACTATGTCTAGGGCAGGGATGGGAGAGGGAAGGAAAAAAGGGGGAAAAAAGAAATTTGCATGATGACTTTATTATATATTTAAAAGGAATAATAAGTTGTACAAAATAGATTTGCAGTTTCATACACAATCTTTTTTTATTATACTACATCATGGAAATGTTTGTTTTATTCTATAAATTAAAAATTAAATGAATCTTAAAATTAAAAAAAGAACTGAGAAAGATTTCTTGAAGCAGTTTGAACTTCAGCTGAGAATTGAAGGAAGATAGAAGGTGGTGATAAGGAGAGAGAAAGTTCAGGCATTGGGAACAGCCAGCGAGTCAGAAGATGGAGTACGTTGTGTGAGGAACAGAAAGGAGGCTAGTGTCGCTGAGTGGAGGAATACTTGGAGGAGGAGGAAGGTATAAAAAGACTAAAACGATAGAAAAGGTCAGGTCATGAAGGACTTTAAAATCCCAAAAGAGAATTTTATATTTGATCCTGGGGGTAATAGGGAGCCACTGGAGTTTATTGAATAGAGGGCAGATATTGATTAGGCAGTGATATATGAACTCAAGACATCAAAGGCATTTTAAGGTATATGGAACAGATATCTACATGTACTCCTCAAATTATATTTATTTATATGCTTAAGTGTTGTATACTCGATAGACTATAAGCTCCCTGAGGACACAAACTGTGTTGTATCTTTGTGTCCTTAGCACATTGAACATAGTTGGTTTACTGAATGAATAAATGAACAAAATTTCTGAGAACCTAATTAAACACACATGAGGTTGCAGAAGGAAAACAGTTGAAAATTTATGTTTAGTAAAATCTTTTTTTATTGTACTTCTAACTGAAAGAGAAACTTAAGAATTCCAAATGTTAACAGTGATCATTTTCATAAACATACTGTTCATATTCTTAGTCAACCAAATAAGTAAAACTAAAGGTGTTAAACCTATGATGCCTTTAATTACTATTTATTTCACTTCAATCACGAATTATTCAGTTCACTTCAAAATCCTATATTTATCAGGTTCTCAGATTTCAGTACCATGAAGATATACATGGGTGCAGGGAGAGAAAGGAGAAGGAAAATCCAGAATAGAACCAGACTGAGTAGAAGGTGGATCGTCAGATACAAGAACTGGGAATAATATAATATTCGAATGTTGAGTCTTTATCTACCCTGACAGTGTCAAAGGAAGGATAAGGCAATGAAATGTAGAAGAGCTCAATATGAATATAATAATACTAGCACTTATAAAACAACCCAATAGAGTTTTAATTCTAAATTCATAGTGATTATTTTCCATATCACTAAATTAGGGGTCATATGCCTATAGTGTGTACATATATCCTGCTAATCATGGTGTAGAATATATATGTGGGAGGGGGGAAAGGGGGAAGAATTAATTCAAGCTTAGGCTGCTTCAAAAGCATCAGTTGTTCAGAGTAAGAAGCAGTATGATATACTGGAAACAGTCAGGAAAGCTGCGTTCAAATCCTAGCTCTGATACAAACTATATGATCATCATATGTTTTTTGGATTTCTGGAGCTTCAGTTTCTTCATCTGTAAAATGGAGATAATTATACTGGTACTATCTAAGCAAAGTGCTTTGACAGTCAGTCAGCAAGCATTTATTAAACGTTTACTATATGCTAGGCGCTGGAGATACAAAGAAAGGCTAAAAGACAATCTCTGATCTCAAGGAGCTCACAATTATGATTAATATCACTGCTATTGTTTGATATTATGGTCCCACTGTATACTGCCATGGTGAGAACACACCTGGGGTACTGTGTTTTGATGAGGATGCCATGTTTTTGGAAGGATGTCAACAAACTAGAGTGTATCCAGAGGATGACCATCATGTTAGTGCAAGGAATCAAAATTATACCATGCAGGAATCAGGTAAAAGAATGGAACATTAAACCCTAAGACGAAAAAATTATTTAGGGGCAAAATTATTGCTATCTTCAAATAGTTCATGTTGTCATGTGAAAGGAGTCAAAGTGTAGTCCTAAAGGGCATAATTAGGGATATTGGGAGGAAGTTCTAGAATTGAAAATTTAGGCTTGTTGTAAGGAAAAATTGCCTAATAATCAGAAATATCCAAATAGACTCTCAGAAGGTAGTGGGCTCCCCATCCCTGAAGGTTTTCAGTCAGAGGCTAGACAAGCATTTCTCCAAATTGTTTTGGAGGAAATTTTTGCCCAGGTATGAGTTGAACTGACTGAACTCTGAGGTCTCTGGCAACTCTGAGATTCTATGATAGCAGGAATAAATTTAATGACTGATACGTAGGTTCAAAAAGTCAATTGCACAAGTACAAGGTCAAAAAAGCAAGGTGACCAGACACACAGTGTGAAAAGACAATGTGTTTGAGTGGACTATAAGCTTAACACAAATCAATAATGGTATATGGCAGCCAAAAAAAGAGTTAAATTGCAATGAGAGAAAGCATCCAGGACAAGGAAAGTGAAAGGTAAGCAGTAATCTGTCAGACCTTGTCAGACCACATTCAAAGTACTGTATTCTATTTCAGAAGCCACCTTTTAGGAAGGACATTGGTAATCTGGAGAGTGTCCAGAGGAATGTAGGCAAGATAGTCAAAGCATCTTGAGTTCATGCCAAAGGAGGATCAGATGAGAAAACTAAGAATGATTATTCTAAAAAGAAGATTTAGAGGGGGCAAGATAACCATCTTCAAGTATTTGAGGGATTAGAGGAAGCTCTAAAAGTGGACTTGGTCTGTTCTGGTTGCCCTCAAAGAAAAGAACTTGCAATAATGCATGGATGTTGAAAAGAGGGAAACTGAGGTTTTATTTAAGGGGAATAAAACTTTCTAAAACTGAGAGCTGTTCAAAAGTGGAACAGACTAACTTAGGAGAACATGAGTTCCTTGTGGCATCTAAGTAGCATAGTGGACAGAGCTCTGGGCCTGGAGTCAGGAAGATCTGAGTTCAAATCCAGCCTTAGACACTTCCTAGCTGTGTGACCCTGGGCAAGGTACTTAACCACTGTCTACCTCATACCCTTATCTTTAAATAGGGATAATGAGAGCACAGGGAAGCTAGGTGGCACAGTGGATAGAGTGCCAGACCTGGAGTCAGGAAGACTCATCTTCCTGAGTTCAAATACTGCCTCAGACACTTTTTATTCGTGTGTGACCCTGGGCAAGTTACTTTCCCCTGTTTGCCTCAGTTTCCTCAACTTTAAATGGAGATAATAATAGCATGTACGTCCCAGGGCTGCTGTGAGAATGCAACGAGATAAAGTATTTAGCCTAGTGCCTGGCACATAATAAGTGCTATATAAATGTTAGCTGCTATTATTGTTGATTTTATTCCTTCTCACTAGCGATCTAAATGCAGAGACTGAACAACCACTTATAAAATGTTGTTGAGAGGATTTTTGTTCCTGTTTGGGTTAGAATAAATGCCCCTGAGATTCCTTCCAACTCGAAGATTCTGTGATTCTATGACAATGGAGCCTTCCAATATTGCTTCAGGTTTCATGTGATATAAATCAGTCAACAGCAAGCATTTATCAAGTGCCTACTAAGTGCCAGGCACTGGAAATGTGAAGACAAAAAAAAATGAAACAATTCAAGCTCTCAAGCACTTAATATTCTACTGGGGGAGATAATATGTACACATACAGTTACAAGCAAAATAAATATAAAGTAGTTAAACACAAGGTAGAAGTTTGCTGACTAAATAACTTCATAATAAAGTCATTATTAAGGGAGAACATTAGCAGTTGGGAAAACCAGGAAGGTTCAACTGTGTCTTGAAGGTTAGGGATACTATGAAACAGAGGTAAGAAAAGAATGTATTCTAGGCATGGGGCATGGATGGTGCAAAGTCACAGATGAGAAATTACGGGCCATATACAATGAACAGAAAGAACTCATATATACATATATATATATGTTTTATATATGTGTGTGTGTTTTATGTATATATATAAAATATTACTGAGAGGTAATAGAGAGCCATCAGAGTTTATTGAGCAGAGGAGAAACATATTTAGGTATCTGTTTAAGGAAAATCACTT